ATTAAAAAAACTCCTGACTCTCCGATCCCTAATCTCCGAAAAAATAACAATCCAACCTAATCAACCTAACCGCGATTCCAACACCCAATCCCAATCCCCTAGAATACACAAACCAACCTATTCCTGTGTAGTTTTATCCGTAGACCACAACATAGTAGCGACCGACATCCTCTCGTCCCTACAAAACCAGAACATCCAGGCCAAGAACGCTTGGAGTATCAAATCCCGTAAAACCGGTCAAGACACTTTCCTTTTCCGTATTATCTCCAATTGTCCCAAATCCATAGACAAACTTCTTTCTAAGGGGTTCTCTATGTTTTCAAAAACCTACCGTTGTGTCCCGTCCCAATCCCCTGGCTCTCAGCCTTTACAGTGTGGCAAATGCTTTGCATTTGGCCACAACACAACTTCCTGCGTCCAACGGGAACCACTTTGCTACCGTTGCGGCGACAAGCATCCTTCCCAATCCTGCACAACCTCCACTCCCAGCTGCGCCAACTGCAAAAGCAATCGCCTTGCTTTTGACTCAAAATGCCCAAGTCGTCCCTCCCCTAAATCCTTAACACCAGCTAAAACCGCACCCGTCAAATGCGTAGACACCCTCGCTGACGCAATGTCCGAGGAAGAACAAACCGATTCGACATCGTCTGATACTCCCGAACCTGAACGATTCAGGGTCGAGGATGCTATCAGATTCACATTTCTATGCTTCGACTCCCTAACTCCCAACTCCAAACTCGTCCGACAGATGATAGCCTATCACGCCGCCCAATTTTTTCACAGGAAAGTTTCTTACGTCGAAAAAGGAAACAAAGTCCACATATCCATAATCCGCATACCTCCTCTCTCCCGTCACTAAACACTAACAAATCCACAACAACGATGACCCATCCCCGTTGCATATAAATAATGAACATTAAAATTAGCACGGTAAATGCATGCAGCTGGAAGCGAAAAAGAAACAACATAATACACACTTTACACACAGACGCGATACATATTCTTGCGGTTCAGGAAACACTGAGCAAAGCAAAAGAAACTTTCTCCATCAATCGCTATAAAGTGTTTAGATCTAAGAAAAACACAACTAAAAGGGGAACTTCACTTATAGTTCACCAAACAATCGCTTCCAGCCAATTTCAAATACCTCTACAATTTCAACATATAGATGCATGCGCAGCGACAATCCACACGCGATACGGGGATATCACAATATTTTCATATTACAATAGCCCGACAACTAAACTCTCGACAGACTTCATAACATACATTTCCAACCTTCCAAGAGCCGTAGTTCTAGGAGATTTAAACGCAAGACACACGTCCTTTGGGGATACCTCCACAAACCGCAACGGCCGTATTCTCGCGAACGCTCTCCTGTCGCTTAATCTCTTCAGAATCAGAAATACAAACCCTACCTTCAGTAATTACAGGGGATCCTCAATCCCAGATCATATTATCTGCACCGACAGGCTAGCACCGATCTTCGCACACACCTGCCACATAGGCACGTCAATAACTAGCGATCACCAAACCCTGTCAACTACAATGCAGATTCAGACGCCGCAAATTACGCTACCAGCATACAAAGAAATACGCGACTACAAAAAAATCAACTTTAATAATCTCCGAGAGCAAATATCAAACGCGAATTTAACTCCGCCAATAATTCATAACGCCGCCGATATAGATAACGCGATTGAAATATATAATCTTACTGTCCAAAACGCCGTCAATGAAACCACACCTTTAAAACGTATATATATCGGTAGAAAACCGTTACCACCGGAAATCGTCAAAATTATAAAAAAGAAGCGCGAACTATATAGACTTTTCACCAGAACACGCGACCCACTCGTTAAAACAGAATGGAACAGGTTAAACGCCCTAGTCCGCCGCGAAGTCAACAACCATCAACAAAAAAGATGGCACGAATCCTGTTCAAAATTAAATTACCACAACGGCTCCCAATTTTGGAACAAATTTAAAACATTAACCGGACAAAAAACAACTCCCATCAGCCACTTGATCATCAATAATCAAATTTATAACACACCCGCGGAAAAAGCAAGCGCGTTCGCGGATACACTTGAATTACTTCACACCACACACACGGCCCCACAGCATGACGCGGCACACATTAGATTTGTAAATTTACACACCACACAAATACTTCAAACAGCATACTACACCCAACACAACATTTTGCGCGAAATTACTTCGGACGACATAACAAACACTTTCGCGAAACTTAAAAACAATTCCCCGGGAGAAGATGGAATAACAAACAGCATCATTAAAAACCTACCGCCTTCAGCAATAGAATATCTAACCCGCATTTACAACGGTATACTTACAACCGCATATTACCCCACAACCTGGAAAAGCGCGAACATAATAATGATACCAAAACCAGGAAAAAACCATATAGACGCGAAATCATACCGCCCTATCTCCCTAGTAAACAACTCCGGTAAAATATTCGAACGTATTATCGCGTCCCGACTAACCGAATACTGCGAACACAACAATATCATCCCTAATTCACAAACAGGGTTCCGAAAGGGACGATCCCCCCTTGACTCTGTCCTAAAACTCCAATCTGAAGTAACTTCGTACATAAACACAGGCGGCTGCACTTGCAATCGCTTTAGATTTCGAAAGAGCTTTCGACACTGTATGGCATAACGGTCTCTTGTACAAATTACTTCAGATTAACCTACCACCACACTTCGTGAAAATAATACACTCCTTTCTAACAAACAGACCTTCCCGAATTAAAATCGGTAATACCTTCTCGCGAACCTTCTCACTCAATGCAGGAGTACCACAGGGCACAGTGCTTGCCCAGCATCTATACAACATTTTCTGCTACGACCTACCCCAACCTATCGAAAACACCGTTAGCCTGTGTCAATACGCAGACGATACTGCGTACTGGGCTAACGGCTTAACCTCCGACTCCTGCAACAACAAACTAAAACGTCAAATTAAACTCCTAGAACACTGGCTCAATAAATGGCGATTGAAACCAAACCCAGATAAGTCACAATTAATATTATTCACACACGATAGGTACACGTGCAAACCCACACTTTCACCCGACCATATTAACATTCAAATTTGCAACACCCGCTTGCGACTACAAAAAAAAATAAAGTACCTGGGTATAACACTCACGCACACTATGAACCCACACAAGGATCTAGCAATAACACTAGACAAAGTTCGTAAGCGGGCAAACCTTATATCTCTCATAAACGGCACCATACAATCATGTAACACAGAAACACTGCTCCACACATACAAAACATTCGTAAGACCACTAATCGATTACCGAGCAGTCTCACTAACAAACATTTCCGATAGTCAATTACAAGTCCTTCTCGCCACCGAAAGAGGAATCCTAAGGAAAATCGCCAGACTAGGAAGGTTCTTCCCTTCATAAGTCCTGTACAACATCGTAGATATCCTACCCATCACAGACCGTATCGTCACACTGCAAATCAAATTTGTTAAAAGGGCCATCCAAACGAATAACCCCATCTCCACACGCACACTTACACAACCACCCCGCAGAATAACCACCAAACCCAAACAAAAAGTCACTTACCCTCCCGCCCGACTCCTGTCCATTACCCCAGATCTCCCCGATGATTTCATCGACCACCTTAATTCCCTACCCAACTCCATCAGATAACCAAAAAACCAACCCAACTAAACACAAACACACACACAAGTAACACACACAAAAAATCACAANCTTGGGACATCCTCGGTAGTTGGCGGGGTGTGCACCATCGCAGTTTGCACATTTCGCTGGTTGCTCTCGTGGTTTCCCGCAGGCGCTGGTGTGGTGGTCCTGGCCACATTTTACACAACGGGCGGTTGCCCTGCACATGTTCTGCGCATGGCCGAAGCGTTGGCAACGGTGGCACTGTCCGATGGTGTTGCGTTTTCGTGGCGTCTCAACTGAAACTTTAAGATAGCATACCGTTGTTACCTTAAAGATCTGGTGGGCTATACTGTCTTTCGACAGTATTACTAAAAGGAGAGGAATCTCCGCCTTGGTCTTGGCTGATGTCATTCTCACGACCTTCTTGATCGAGAACCCTTTCTCCTTCAAGTCCTCCTCGACTTCTGTTGTTGGGATGTCTGTCGGAATTCCCCTTAGTACGACCTTCAGCGGCTTGTCTTCCTGCAACAGGTATGTATGATATTCAGTGCCTTGTGTGTCTAGTAGTCTGGTGATGCCGCGGTAGTCGTCTTCTGTTGTCGGCTGGACGCTAATCCCATCCCCGATGTTTTTCGCCTTGTTGAATTGTAGGTTCTTCAACCGCATCAGGTTGCATATGTTTGTCCACTGACTCTTCTGGCGGATGATCACTGGTGGTACCCTCGTCTTCTTTGGCGCTGCTTTTGGCACCGACGTTCGATTTTGAGAAGCGGCCATCGAACCTTCTCTATCTTCCATGACAATGTCATTTTCCAGCAGTTGGAAGCTGTTACTTATTGGAGTCTCGGCGACCACCCGCAGGCTGCTCACCCGACGCTTCTTCGCCGTCTTTGTCGCCTCCGTGAAGTCCGTCGGTGGCGTCGTCTCAGGTTGGGAGAGCGCGCTGGTCCCAGCCGCTTCCTCCATCGCTGCAGGTACGACGTCTCCTCCTTCCGTCGTTTTCTGCTTTTCCTCTTCCTCGATTTTGGTAGTCTTAATAAAGACTGGTGTACTAGCGGCTGTTGGCTGCTCGCAGTTTGTTGTTGTATCCTCCGTGAAGTTCTTCTAGCTGATGTTGGACACGTCCGTTCAGGTCGAAGATCTGCCGTAGAATGACGGCTGCAACGTGCGACGTTGCCCATTTAAGCGGCGGCCGCGTCGATCGGAAGCCCGTCCCCCTTGCGCGAGAACGGAGCGAGCGCGCTCCGCGATTGGTCGTCGGACCCGTAGCGTCGGACGCGGTCGACGAACGGCCGCCCGAATAAATACGTATCCGGGCACTTTTTCGGTTTCATACACGCAGCAGCAGTGACGGCCGACGTTTAGCCGTTGTCACTTTTTCATTGTCATTGTCGAGCGACGAAATACATACGAGGAAAGCATGTCGGGCAGAGGGAAGGGCGGAAAGGTGAAGGGAAAGGCCAAGTCCCGCTCCAATCGAGCCGGTCTTCAATTTCCGGTCGGAAGGATACATCGGCTTNGAGGAAGAGGTATTCAACCGCTATGGATATCCCCGCTTCCTACTATCCGATAATGGTCCGCAATTTACCTGCCGTCTCTGGGAGAAGTATTGTCGCCGCCACCACATCGCACCCTGGACCACAGCCATCTACCATCCCCGGGAAAACCCTACCGAACGAAGGAACCAGGAGCTCAAGAAAGGTTTGAGAATCCACCTGGGAAACCAACCGCCGGAGCACTGGGATAAGGCGCTGAGCAAAGTGTTGTTCAACCTGCGATCCCGACAGAACGCCGCCACACTTCAAACTCCGAGCGAGGCCCTCTTCGGTTACACCATTAACCGTCCCGGACTAGGAGAAACTCCCAATCCCGACCTCCCCGACACATCAGGACAAGCCCGGGAGGAACGCCGCCAACAAATGATCCGGCGCCAGCAGGTATACCAACGGAGGTATGTTGCCGAGCCACCACAACAACAAGTAGGGTTCCAAGTTGGAGACCTCGTCCTGGCAAGGAACCTCAAGAAACAACATGGCCTCGCACCGACCTGGACCGGACCACACGAAATCACCGCAGTAATAGGAGGCAACGTGTACGAAGTTCTCCGGGATAACATCCAGAACAAACTTCACGTCGACCACCTCCGACCAGCCCCGCCACACCGCTAGACCTCCAACAGAACATCTGGCTCTCGCCTTAACGGGGGGGGAATTGTTACCGCCGCCGCCCTTCCGCCTTCCGAGACGAGAGCGATGTTCACCCGTCGACCGCCAGCCGCCGAAACCGAGCCGACTCCACCACCACCAGTATGTATAGTAGCAGCGCGTCGATCGTGCGCGCCAATGACAGCGCACGACCGCTGCTCGGTGGAGGGAGTAGGCGGAGCCAACTCGCCGCGCTGGTGGATATAAGCGGCCGGCCTGGCCACAGAAGGTCAGTCGGCTACCCTCTTAGCCACTCTCTACTACCAGTCGGCTACGCCTTAGCTACTGGTATTCATAGTCGGCTACGCCTTAGCCACTATTCCTCGACGGCTACGCCTTAGCCACGAGAACCACTACGACCACCTTCGGCTACCGATTTTTAGCCAGGGCCACGACGCATCGTTCGACCAGCGACCACTTGGTGTAGATAGATATATCCACACGTATTCCAGGGCATCTTGTACCTATGCCACGCCACCGACGAGGAGCATCGACCCGCCGCTGGAGACAACGGAGAGACCGTCACCAAGGACGTATCCAGGGACCGCCCCACGCACTATCGCCCCGACACCTGACCCAGGTCTTCCAGGAGCTCCGGGATACCTACGTCCCGCGTCCCGAGCCCCGTCAGCCATCCAAGGTGCCTGAGGATCCCCGGAAGCCGCCGTCCCCGCGGTTACCTCCGTTGCCTGTGGTCTCGCCGCTGCCCGCCCCACTGTCGCCGCTCCCAGCCACGCCAAAGCGTACGCAACCACCGTCAGGACCGCGCTACACTCCGGTGCCGCAACTTGTGTCCCCGCTCCCGGCAACGCCTCGCCGGCGTGTGTACCGGCTCCGCCGGATCGACTTTGGTTCAACTCGCGAGTGATTGTGCTGTGAGTGCCCGGACGACTATTTGTTAGGTTAGGTGTATATATATATTTAGGTTAGGTTAAGATTAGGTTAAACAACTTGTAGCATACCTCATACATATGTATATATGTCTTGTTATCTGTTAGTTACTTAGGCTATTTTCCATTCGAGTAATCTCTGTATATATCTAGCGTTAGTTTACTTAAGTCTCTGTAAATAAATCTCTTTAATCACTCTGTATTAGTTCGTTCCTCAAGGTGTCCATCGACGAAGGCGCGACGAGGTCGTTCGCTCGCCAGACTAGCCGGCCTTTACTACGCGGCACACCGCACGTGTGCCCGGTAACACGGCCGCACGCTTAAAATGGTACCCGGTATACGAGTTCGAACCATTTCACGTTCTACTACGTACGTACGTACGTACCTTACCTACCCGCCCAGCCAGAGCTACGTCAGTTGAGCGTTACGCACGCACGCACGCACGCACCCGTGATCTTCGCAAATTGAGAAACCTACCTATCTGTCCACTGAGCAATCTACCGCGCCAGTACCAGCGATCATCATGTCGACCGAGACAGCATCGCCCGCAGCCGCGACGGCCGGCTCGAAGAAGGCGACCGGCGGCGGCGGCGGCGGCGGCACCGCGAAGGCTCCTAGGGCCAAGCCGTCGCACCCGCCCACGTCCGAAATGGTGAACAACGCCATAAAGAGCCTGAAGGAGCGCGGAGGGTCGTCGCTGCAGGCCATCAAGAAGTACGTGAGTGCCAATTACAAGGTCGACACGGAGAAGCTCTCGCCGTTCATCAAGAAGTACCTGAAATCGGCCGTCGCGTCCGGAACGTTGGTTCAGACGAAAGGGAAAGGCGCCTCCGGCTCGTTCAAGCTCGCCGCGTCGTCGGTCTCGGGAAAGGGCGCAAGCGGTGCAGCCGCCGCCGCCGCCGCTGCCGCGTCCGCCGCATCCGAGACTACGGCGTCCGGCGGTGCTGCCGCTGCCAAGAGCAAGGCCGCCAAGAAAGCGACGCCGTCGACGGCCAGCAAGAAGGCGCGAAGCGCAACGACGGTCGCCAAGAAGGCCGGCGGCGGCATCAAGACGAAGAAGGCCGCCGCCGCTGTCGGCGCGTCGACGAAGAAGGGAGCAGCGGCAGCCGGCAGCGCCAAGGCCAAGAAGGCTGCCGCGGTGAGCGAGAAGAAGGCGTCGGCCGCCGCCGCCGCCGCGGCCGCGAGCTCTCCCAAGTCGCCGTCGAAGGCGAAAAAGACGACCAAGGTGCCGACGAAGAAGCCGAAAGCGCCGAAGCCGAAGAAAGTGAAAGCGGCCGCCGTCGCGCCGTCCGCGAGGTCGAAGAAGCCGGCGGCGACGCCGAAGAAGAAATGAGAGTAGGGGCAGTAAACGATGATGATGGATTGTTACTGCATTATACCAATGTTTGTTGCGTTCCTGCCCGTCAGCACGATATTACCGCCCGCTCGGCGGGCGTGTCTTATCTTCCCGAAGAGCGGTTGCAAAAATGGCCCTTTTCAGGGCCACAAGTTGCTCTCGACGAAATCGAAAGTCTCGAATCCCGTCTGCTGCAGACGCCAGATAAACAAACACACACCTATCCACGCTCGCGCGCTCGTTCGTGCACGCACCCAAACACACACACACACACCACGCGCATATACAACCTCGAGCGTCTCGTCTCTTCTCTCCGTGTTTATACAGCCACAGATACGTAATAAGTACATACGTAAATACACACAAGCATACATAAACAGACGCGTACGTCGCTCGCACGAGCGCCGAGAAAGACAAAGAGGTGGTGGCTATGTTAAAAGACAGCGAGCGTGAAGTGGTCGGAACAGAAAAAAAAAAGAGAGAAAAGAAAAAAAAAAAAGAAAAACAGCTATCGAACGTTTTCGAATGTTGCGAGAGAACGTTGTGGTTCTGAAAAGAACCGATTTATGCATGTATACGCCAGCCGGCGCGTTTTGTTGCCTGCTCGCTTGCTTGCTTGTCTATTTATTTGGAGCTGGTGTATTTCGTGACGGCCTTGGTGCCTTCGCTGACGGCGTGCTTTGCCAGCTCGCCCGGCAAGAGCAGCCGCACGGCCGTCTGGATCTCTCTGCTGGTGATGGTGGACCTTTTGTTGTAGTGAGCCAGACGGGACGCTTCCGCGGCGATGCGCTCGAAAATGTCGTTCACGAAGCTGTTCATGATGCTCATCGCCTTGCTCGAGATCCCGGTGTCGGGATGGACTTGCTTGAGCACTTTGTAGATGTAGATGGCGTAGCTCTCCTTCCTCCTGCGCTTCTTCTTCTTGTCGCCCTTCGAAATGTTCTTCTGCGCCTTTCCGGCCTTCTTGGCAGCCTTGCCGCTAGTCTTGGGAGGCATTGTGTCGTGGTATACAGTCGAGATATTTGACGTTAACGATTACTAACAACAACAACAACGGCAGCGGAGCGGACGTTGCGTCGGACTGTCTGTCTGTCTTGACTCGTTATGACGGCTGCAACGTGCGTCGTTGCCCATTTAAGCGGCGGCCGCGTCGATCGGAAGCCCGTCCCCCTTGCGCGAGAACGGAGCGAGCGCGCTCCGCGATTGGTCGTCCGACCCGTAGCGTCGGACGCGGTCGACGAACGGCCGCCCGAATAAATACGTATCCGGGCACTTTTTCGGCTCATACCACATCGAACCTTCGAGCCGATCAGACGTACTCCGATCATCCTATAATCAGCAGCAACTTCATCAGAACTACTACCAACGGACTTCCTACTGTGCAGCCTAGTTCCTGTATTCGTTCGATAGCCGTTGCACTTTATTTTCCAGCTTCTTCGTTGAGCCGTGCAGAGTAGAGTAAGAATAATTTTTATTATCCAACTAACAAAAAGTCATAGGGACCGAGTACGCAACGTCCCTTTGATATTAACAAATTACCCTGTCAACCAACTAACTAATTAATAAACACAAACAAATACACACAAACACACGCTCTCAATTCACCTCTTCAAGGCCGCCGACTGTAAAGACTAAACTCTCTTTTCTTGTCGTTCTCATTAACTTTTGTTTTTCAAAAAAAATGCAACGGAAGATGGACTCCTCCACACCATCTACATCTAAACGACCCGCTCCTGAATCCCCTGTCGAAGAACAGCCGTTTAAAACCGTAAACCGCCGGCGGACTCGTTCGTTCGACTCCCAATACACATCCCCAACTAGCTCCCCTTTATCCCCTAGAACCCCAACTAGATCCCCTTCCCTCTCCGACACCGATAACCTATACGAAGCTACCATAACAAACATCCCCGATAAATATTCTAACCAAAAAGACCTCTTCGGACTCCTGAAATCCATACCAACCCTGTTATTCCTTTCACTAACTGTATTTCGTGGTAATAAAGCCAAGATCACCTCTAAAGACCCGCAGATATTTAAAAAACTCCTGACTCTCCGATCCCTAATATCCGAAAAAATAACAATCCAACCTAATTAACCTAACCGAGATTCCAACTCCCAATCCCAATCCCCTAGACTACACAAACCAACCTTTTCCTGTGTAGTTTTATCCGTAGACCACAACATAGTAGCGACCGACATCCTCTCGGCCCTACAAAACCAGAACATCCAGGCCAAGAACGCTTGGCGCATCAAATCCCGAAAAACCGGTCAAGACACTTTCCTTTTCCGTATTATATCCAATTGTCCCAAATCCATCGACAAACTTCTTTCTAAGGGGTTCTCTATGTTCTCCAAAACCTACCCTTGTGTCCCATCCCAATCTCCTGGCCCTCAGCCTTTACAATGTGGCAAATGTTTTGCATTTGGCCACAACACAACTTCCTGCGTCCAACGGGAACCACTTTGCTACCGTTGCGGCGACAAGCATCCTTCCCAATCCTGCAAAACCTCCACTCCTAGCTGCGCCAACTGTAAAGGCAATCACCTTGCTTTTGATTCAAAATGCCCAAGCCGCCCCTCTCCTAAATCCTTAACACCAGCTAAAACCGCACCCGTCAAATGCGTAGACACCCTCGCTGACGCAATGTCCGAGGAAGAACAAACCGATTCGACATCGTCTGATACTCCCGAACCTGAACGATTCAGGGTCGAGGATGCTATCAGATTCACATTTCTATGCTTCGACTCCCTAACTCCCAACTCCAAACTCGTCCGACAGATGATAGCCTATCACGCCGCCCAATTTTTCCACAGGAAAGTTTCCTACGTCGAAAAAGGAAACAAAGTCCACATTTCGATAACCCGCATACCTCCTCGCTCCCGTCACTAAACATTAACAAATCCACAACAACAATGACCCATCCCCGT